CATGAAAAAGAACTACCACTCAAGGAACTTTCTTGACAGTAATACGTAGATAGAAGCCACATTTATCCCTCTGGACTATCGCAGCTTTCAAAATATTCAGTGCCTACACCTCAATTGAGTGATAAATGCGCCACACTTCCCAGAGTGAACATCTCAAACTTGCCACATAGAGCGGGTTCGCGTGCCGATAACAACTTGTGAGAAGAAACCGATACACGTGTTAATCGAATTAATTATCCAACATTTCTCCGAGAAATATGAATAATGAATTATTCACATCGACACATTGACTACATGGGTTTACTCGATTACCGGATCCAGAACGAGGTATGTACTTTCCGCGTGATTACGCTCTAGAAGGCGTCTGATTCAAACGCACATCTGTATATTTCAGCAGACGTGCCCCATAATCATGCCGCCATTACCAGCATGAAACACGGAGAGAGGACGGGGCGTGTTTCCTCTGGGACAAAACCGGAAACGGCTAGATTCATCAGGACATCCGCTGTTTAAAAAACGATAATTCAAAATGGCTATTTCTGCGGCAACGGTTTTACGCAATTTGAATAAAACTGCCATTGCTTTGTTCCAATGGAATGCATGTAAAGAACCTTTTCAGAACATTCCCAAACATTTTCATTCAATCGTGAATGTGAGAATCCTTGACGTTAGGAGAAAAAGAGATGTGGCGATGAAATTTATTCCAACCCTACCCATAATGAAGACCGACAAACATCACATAATGGAGAATTATGGCGCAATTTGAGATAACAAACATTATTTTTATAGTCCGTACTTTTGCTACAGCACAAGAGACGGTCTGATTCAGAGTTTAACTCGTGGAACATTAGTCGGAAACTTTTATTAATAAATGGTTTAAAGTTTTAAGATTTAATGGTTTAAGAGGTGTAAAATACCATTTTTAAAATCCAAACGTTATACATTTAAATTTTTTAACACAGTAAATTATTTAATTTTAATTAAATTACTCTTGACAATGTTCAACAAAGAGAACAAACTCAAATAATAAAAATAATGTTCTTTTTGTTGGAAAACTGCATTATTTAATATAATAAGATCATTACTAGAGTAAAAAATCATACTCCAAAACAAAACTTTACATATTCCAATTTAAGAAACATCACTAACAGGAACACGTGTTATTTACCCATCTGCCGCAACAACAACAGCATTCTTCAGACCATACGTTTATTTCTGTCTTTTAGTATTATAAAACACAATTAATTGCAGCTACACGAGTAAGGATTGAATTTAATTAAGTCTATCTTTCTTATTCGAATGCTCACTTGATATTATTGAAATAAGATCTCGTAAGGCGTATTTTAATTATTTGTACGAATCCATTATGAAACGTATTTTAACTCTAAAATAATTACAATAGTGTAACATAAACATCCCAAATTCTCTTTTTTTTTTTAGTGAATTTTAATATATTTCATCTATATGATATATCAAGAATATTTTCTCAATTATTGTCATGGGATAATACTTACGTACCATAAAATTTGGAAATTATTATAATAGCACAAATGTAGCTTTTGAAAGTGAATCTATGAAAGCCATTTAAGAAATAATTTTAAATATTTACCATACATAATGTTATATTTGACTTGCTAAAATAATAAACACATATAAGTATTGATCACTTTGCATTATTTATCAATAAATAGATGAATAATTCAATACTTTTAAATATGGAAATATTTTATAAAGACGAAGTATTATTATGTTTTGGATGTTAGTTACTACACATAATGATTTTCTTGCACTTTTATAATGTTTGTAAATTAAAAGGTCGTAAAATTACTTCGCTTAATAATATTGTTATTGTATGAACACGCAGCTTTAATGAGACAATATTAGAGTTCGTATTCACTACATTATTGGCTGCATCATTTTACATGCGAGGAGCAAAAATAAATAACTTTTAATACTGCATTAAGTGGACAGGTGTTACTAATTGAATTACTGTAATTATTAAGTCAGATTTTAGAGAAGTTTCTATGCATTTCCCCTGTTTTTCAACATATCTGATCTTCAGCAATAGTTTCAGAGAGGTGAAATATTTAATTACTCTATTACACTATTTTATAATTATGACTTGAAATATTGATATATACATAATTATGTCAATGCATTTAAGAAATATAATCGCTAAACTTAATTACCTTTAGAATATCAATGGTTTTAAATTTTCTTGATGTGTACTACTTTCATTACATGTTATTTTGGATTACCACCAGCTAAAGGAATGAAGAACTAATTTAAAATAATTTTTCGCTGAAGTGCTTCAAGATTAACGATATTAGCTCGTTATTTTCGTTAGAGCTAAAGAAAATTCCCTCGGAATTTACATGTTTCTTGAGAACACGTAGTCAAAGCTTAATTTAAAGTACTTCAAGTACTGCAAAGTACGAACAAGTCTGACTCATCACAGTTGTAAATAACGCAAGCTCCTGATTCCCATTCGTTGCCTCGTTGTGGTGCGCAAGCGAGACTCCTAAGCCGAGCTCATGCGTGTATAACTACTTTACCGCTTTCATGTTAAAAACACGATATTTCACTGAACATCATTTAAAGATTTTTGAATTTCAGTTGGATCTTTTGTATTTGGTAGAATTTTTATACAACTTTTAAAACTCAGATAACATAAGAAAACTTTAGTAACAGTCATACGAATAATCATTAAAAATTCAACTCTGATGAGATGATGGGTCAACAAAAAATCAAGAAGGATATTACTGTTCTGTGTTCTCTCTGTATGTACTAAAGTAATCGTATAGGTAAAGCATTCAGTGCTAAAGGGCGAATGTAATTTTTCAACAAAGAATTTTTAATGCACAGACATCAGTTTGTGCATTCAGAGACGTTTTACTAGAATTTATTTCTTTATATTTAATTAAAAATAAATAGATAAAATATATTTAAAAATCAGAACTTTTTTATTATTGTATACTATTCAGGTTTGATGTTAAAAACGATTAGCATATCGAGCTGTTATACCCACGTTTGCGGGTTTTAACCTGATCGAAACCACGGATTTTTAAGGGGGGGATCTTTCTTACGCCTTCCTTTCGGAGGAAAGTAAAACCGACTGGTTTTTGATACAGGTTTAGTGCATGTTAAATATTTTCAAGCCTAAAGAAAGCCTCTGAGCTAAATTCAAATCGCCTTTTTCGTTGCCCAAGTGATACCTTTTTTTCTCCGCTGGATGATGAAAAGAGCGGTGCACAATTTACGTGGTCAGCGGGAAGGGCAGGCCCGATGGCCGGAGTCTCGCCGCGTAAAACAAGGCACTTTTGGATTGATTTGTATTGGATTCGATTGGGCTTTTCTACATGCACAGGAGGTGCGAGTTGGGCGGTAGACAGTGTTCGATGGGCAGTGGGCAATGGGCATTAGGTGGGCGAACGAAAGTAGATGGTGGGCAGAGGGCTATATACGGTGGACGAAGGGTGGCGGGCGACGGGCGCAGAGTGAAATGGATGGCAGGCAATTAGCGAATAGCATTGGGTGGCTGGCGATGGGTGAGAGATGAGAGACGGGCGATAGGCGGCGGGCGATGGGCAACGGGTGATGGGCAACGGGTGATGGGCGACGGGCAATGGCGGCGGGCGTTGGGCAGTGGTTGTCAGGCGCCGGTTCCGGTCCTTGCAAACGCCGCTACCCGTTACTCACTGCCGGGCGACGTATGAATATGGATACGGGTGATTATTAACATTCTTAATTTACAAGTCTTCCGCCGTAACGAAGCGGGAGGGAGAGCGGCACGCGGGTATGATGTTAGCGAATTGCAGTGCCGCAGGAGGCAAATGAGTGTGACAAAAAGGATTTTGCAAGAAACCTGGAATGGCAGAACTAGAAAGTATGAAACTAAGATCAGGAGAGGAAATTCAGGAACTTAAGTAATTAAACTTTTCGGTGATTGCCATATCTTCTTCCACTGTGTCTTCGTATAAATCGTATCAACTATTTATTTAAACCCTAAAAACTTACATTTTTCAGATCACTGAATTTCACTTCTGCAAGAAAGCATACATCCTCCACAAAAAACATGAAACCTTTTATGAGTACTTAACAACCATGAACGGCAGGAATGCTGGAGAGGAAGAAATAAATTTTATGAAAAGTGGCAGTAGGGTGGCTGTTTTCTTCACTGTAGAGGTCGTTCTGTCCGTGTTTTCAAATATAATAAACAACTGAATTTAACCCTTATAATTATCTCTCTTAAAGAACTCCTAGAATGGTCGGTTAGTCCAGACGATAAGTTCTAACGATTTTCAACAGATGGTGCTGATGGCGGATGGATAAAAGACAACAAGAACGCTAGGACTCAAGCATGGAAGAAGCAATAGATGAAAGATAAGGGAAGAAAAAATACCCAATTTCGTGACCTGGCGTCAAAGCGGTCTAATTCGCGTGAGAATGAAATAACGTGAAAACAGAAAAGATTTTTGGTTTCACGTTTTATTACGTAGCGTTGGTTTCACCGGGATGTGTGCTCAATTACGTCGGTTGTCATGCCTTTTCACTGCTAGTAATTTGTATTCGCACATTCAGTTACACGTGTAAGTAATGTTCAAGTTATCTCCACCATCAAAGGAATCTCACAGTTTAGTGTAAAAAACAGTTAATGAATTGATCAACTTATAGGTTAGACGCTATCCCCAACACGTACCCCTTGCTACTCCGAAATACTTCTCTGTGATTGTGCAACTACCGACTAACAATGTGTGACTCAGCAAGTGGTTTCGTGAGTTTAAACTCTTGAAACATTTTTAATTAGCATCGTATCTTTGAAAGGTGTATTTACAAATGCTCATTTATCTTACTAATCTACAAAACAACACATTATCCGCATCAGTTATTAAAAAGTAGAAAAATAATTACAAGTATATAGCAAGAAGATTCTGATAATTTAATTTGATCGTAAGTTTTTAATAATAGTCGCAAATAAGCAATAGAAAATGAACTACTTACATTTGGGAAACTCCTCGTACGTGGCTATCAGAAGGTGCCCCAAGAAGGGATGGAAGTGAAATGTCTCCAATTATTCTGAGAAATCAAAGAAGAAACAAATGCTGTTGAGGAATATGAAGTAGCTTAGACATATCTAATCAGAAGTTTTCCTCTATGAGATCAAAAATCAAGCGTAATATTATATAAATATATATATATATATATACTATATATATAATAATATATATATTAGTTTAAAATTTTATATTTTTCAATAATACATTAGGATGTACTAAATCTGAAATTCATGTTGTCTATATGGATCTCGAGTATGAAACTCCCCTATTAACATTCAGTGTAATTATTATACGTTACCGACAAGTTTAATGCTCTGTCGCTACCCGAAAACAAACTTCAAAATCGCATGTTCGAGTCCAATAAAAATGTACGAAATCCACTAAAAAGTCGTCTGCGGGGCAAGTAGCGATTCCGAGGCGCGTGCTCGGGTTAAGAAATGCGATCTTCCGAGAAGAGTCTGAAGGCGTGGGAATCGTGAGGTTTTGGGGAAAAGTGGTTTCGCGGCAAATGAAGAATACCCCGCCACGCGAGGACCTGTTTTTTTGGTGGTCGCAGGGGAATGGGGAGGCAAGCGGAGGGAGGAGCACACCCTGGGATCTCGCCTCACACACCATCCCCACCACCCCCGCTTCCTCTACCGCCCCCACCGTCAACGCTGTTCACGTCGTCAATGCCGCCCACGTCGTCCATGCCGTTTAACCGTTCACGTTGCTGTCGTCAACGGCTGTCACGCCGTCAACGCAATGCATACCGTCCCCCTGTCACCGCTGCAAACACTGCTCACGCCGTCAATGCTTCCCACGCCGTCCATGCCTTTCAGATATCCACACCGTCGGCATCGCCCCAACCGTCAACGGCTTCCATCCACGCCGTCAACACGGCCAACACCATCAATGCCGCCCACATTGTCCAGCCGTTCACACCGTCGCCGCCGTCGACTCCGACGCGGTCCAACGCCTTCCACTCCGACCACATCCATACCGTCCTCCCGTCCCCGCCGTCTACACCGCCCAAGCTGTCAATGCTGCCCACGCCGTTAGCCCATACCGTCCCGGCCGACTTTGGCTTCCATGCCGTCTTCAACGTTCACGGCATACAGCTCTCCTCATCTTCGCCGGCGTCCATCTGTCCTCGCCGCCATCGCCATCCACGCCGTCAACGCCCTCCTCGCCGTCAACGCCATCCACGCCGTCAACGCCATCCACGCCGTCAACGCCATCCACGCCGTCAACGCCATCCACGCTGTCATCACCGTCCCCACCTCCTCTCCTGCCTTATAAACCCCACCCCCTAACTTCCCCTGTCACCTCCATTGTCCCCGTCTCCATCACCTGCAACCGATCAACGCACGTGGTTCGGCGTAACAGCGCACCTTATCCGCATTGAAATCTCCAGCGGAAGACGTCACTAAAGTGTCATTTTGAACGGGAGAATATAAATAAATATTTATCATAGGCGACAGCCACGCTTAATAGGCCGTATTTAAAATAATTGCGGGCTATTTAAGATTTGATAGTTAAGTAATTGGCGATAGGCATCTTTAATTTGGCATGCAGTCCGGGACGAGAGGAAGGAGAATGGAAAAACGTTGGGGAAGGGAGGGCAGACTGGGGAATTTAGCAAGAAGGGGAATGGAAAGGGATGAGGGAAGGAGTTGTCAGTTGTGATATACGTCTGGAATTTAAGGAAAGGAATTTATACTAGGAGATTCTTGGAATATTTCTCTCGCATTCTCCTTTTCGAATACCAAAAGCATTAATGAGCGGGATAAAACACATGAGCACCTTCAATTACCTCAGAAAACATGGCACTATAGTGCAAAAAAAATTCAATTTACTTATTTTAAATTATAACGTATTCACTTTTTCTATTGTTTTGATGTTTTCTTACTTCTAGTAAAATATAATAAAGCTACTTTTTACATAGTGACATTTATTCACCTCTCCCTTCGTCGTATTTAAGAAATAGTTATTCAGGCAAGTGGGGTGTCCAGAAAGAATGAAAACAATATTACCTCATACCCATCCACGCACGTTGAAGCTAAGTAAAACATTACATGTATTCAAAAATAATTAATTCGTTCAAGAATGATGACATTTCAATCTACATTATCATCACAAATGTCGATTGGCATTCTTTCTTTACGTTTCCTTCTTCTGTAGAGCCTTCCAGAACAGTAGAACGACCGTCACTAAGTTTATTTTGGATTTGCCCCAAATACTGCAAGAAATATCAGTCTCTTAATAAGGCAACAAAAAAATCTACTCTCTTGGAGAAGATAAGTAACCAGTACCTAAGCATCTTGATTAAAGTTTTAATCAAATTCAAAATCGTGGGTTAGATATGTGAGCATGTGAGGAGAGCGCTCAGATAAAAAGATAATATTACCACTGACGCTAAATCTTAAAGAAGTAATGAGATTAATTAATAAAACATGATTCTTATTTGTCAAAGACCTCGGATTTACAAACCATTTTATCTCCTGGGCCTATATAGTTTAAAATTTGTAATACTTCGTCAAACAATTTGAATTATATCAATATTAATTCGCCGTTAACGTAATACATTAATATTTATAGTAACGCAGGATTAGTTTGAGCAAATGATTTAATAAACACTTCCTGCTCAGCATGAACCGACACGTCTTTATCATGTGACAATCTTAGTTCCTTCAAACGTGTTTATTTTATTTTTCTATTAATTTATATGTATTGCATTCACTCAGTAAAAACGCAGAACCGCACATTCTACTCGAGATATCCTGAAGGCTTAGTCGATATAATCAATGCTGGCGCATTCTATCACACGCCAAAGCGCAGAGCGTGCGAAAACAGGAAGTGGTCTCCTGGAAGAGCGCGCTGGGGTCGGAGCAGTGCGGGGTAGAGGTGTCGTCCATCCCGAGCCGACCCCGGCCGCAGCCCTCTGCCGTGATCACGTCGTCGGCCGGCGGGGCCTGTGTAACACGACGCTAAAGGGGGTATCTGTGTCGGCGCGGCAGCGGTGTGGGAACGCCAAGGGCGGGCAGGGGTGAGGGGGGCGGGGCCGGAGGGGTTGTTGGGAGCGCATCTTAATCCCGCGCCTCGGCGGACGCGCTGAGCGGGGGTGGGGGTGGGGGCGGCGGGCGCGGGTTGCGAGCTTCGGCCGGGGACGGCGTGCGAGGCCATTGTCACGCAGATGCGGTTGGAACGCAACGTGCCCAGGCCTCGTGTAGCGCGGACGTGAGCTGTCGCTAGCCGCGAGTGCGGGGCGAGGCCGGAGCGGCGGGGCGGGCGGGTGATGCGGGGTGGGGTGGGGAGGGGAGGCCGCGCGTGCGTGCGCGTGAGTGAGTGCGTGCGTGCGGGGCCCCGGGGTCGAGGCCTGAGCGCGCCCCGCGATGCCGTCCGGCTTCTCAGGCCTTGCACTCGGCCGCCAGGGAAAAGAGCCCTGGGGAACGCCCGCAGCTTGTACTTCACCCCTGATGACCTTGAGGCATCACGTAAAGTAGTGGTGGGAGTGCCCTATTTTCCCTGAGGGATCCTCTGAGTAAAATTTTTAGAATAGCGTAAATAGTCTGTTTGTTTGTTTTTTTATTATTTTTTTTAAATGTTAAAATGAAGCTAAAATGTAATTTTTGGTTAATACAGAACTTTCCACCAACCCTTTCCTTTTTTGATGTACGCCTCAACAAAAATATTTATTTTCCATGTAAGAACTTCCTGCCTTCTTACAGTAATTGGAGTTGAAGATATCTCTCAGTCCTCCTAATCTAATTTCTAATCGTTACATGCAAAATAACTCTTTAAACAAAAGATTTTCATGGTTAATTTTGTGATCCTCCAATTTGCACAACCTCTTCATTTAACAAAATCCATCATTTACGCAGTTATCACCTTCGTTATGAAGACGAGAAATCAGCAAAAGTTATATTGGTTAGAAATTGAAATATTCCGATCCAGAAAGCTATTTCAGCATATAAAGATCATTCAGTTCAATAAAGAGAATTCAATTATAATTTATAATCCGTATAATATTTATCTTAACATTCATACCTTCTACTTGTACTTTTATTAAATGACGCATCACAATATTTCTTTTGTAGATATACTTTGTCTTGTATATCAAGAACATTAATGTCCATGCAAAACGCTGAAGAACTTCTCGACGTTTGAAAAGAATGAAAATAAACAAGGATACTCTCTGAAAAAAATATAAAGGAAGATAAGGGAAAAACAGATACAACAACAAAAGAATCAGTTTGTAGATTAGGTTGTTTTCCGTTGACAGATTTAGTACTACAAGTCTTGATATTCGAATCTACTGGTATGAAGAAATTTAAAGCTAATTGAAATGTTTTGTTTGTCTTTTACTGTCTCACTAACTGGAGTCTAACTGAAACAATATTAACCTCTGAGCATTGGCAATGCTTTGCTGCCTTTTATCATTGGAGACAGGCCAAAGCGTTTGCATCTGCGAGGATTTTATCGAGCCATTATCTTTTGATAATATAGATAGTTTAATGGAAGGTGATTTTTCAGTATAAATATTTGTATTTTTAAGAAATTCATGGTTTCATTATCTAACGAATTATTAAGTTCTATTATATGTAAATATGTTTATTAGCACGTATATATGCTACAGTAGCCTATAATTGAATTAACAAAAACAATATATATATATATATATATATTATTTTAAAATGTAAGGTATTTGTTGTAAACACTTCTCGAACAGTGCGTCACCGGTGTAGTGAATGTAGGGTTTCAAGAAAACCAGTTATTTTCTGGATTTCATATGGTAAGTTTTAATTCCATATTATATTAAGTTAAATGTCTTTGAAAATAAATTCGTTAATAGCAAGCTGCATCGTTATTCAAAATATTCCGTTGCCTCGTAATAATTTATTTCATTCAAAAAGCATGTATAACAATTGGAAATTTAACATTACAATTATATATTCAAGAACTATTGTAAAAATCAACATATTCACATGTTCTGATTCTTGTATCAAGAATGTAAAAGTAAATTGAAACGTGTTTTGT